TGGCACTGACAGCTTGGGTTGAGAGGGACCCCAAGGATCATCCAGTTCAATCCCTGTACATCACCTTCCAGTCCACTGTCCCTGCCTAAAACCCTGGCTGCACCATGTCTGGAATAGGAGCAGTCACGAGGATTCAGGAAAAAACCCCAATAAACCAACTCTACTTCTCTGGATTTTCATTAAAACCCTGCTCTGCAGGAGGGGAAGAAAAGGGAAGGGTTTTGGTGTCCCTTTGGGCACCATCAGGCAGGAGTGATGTCACAGCCTGGGAATCAGGCTCTGGCCAGCTGGAGCAGAGGGCTCTGCTGGAAAACACCTGCTCCCTTTGCCAGGGATAAGATTTCAGAGTAGCTGCATCCTCCTCTCAAAACAGCAGTGTCCATTCCCACTGGGATCTGTCCCAGAAGAACTGGGGAAAAAGAACCAGCAAACCCAGATCTCACAGAAAATACAGACATGGTGAATTTCTGAACTCATTCTGGAGAAGAGAATAACCAGGAATTTCTTTCCTGGATAACATTTCTGCAAGAAGACACAGTGGGCTTGATGTGGTCGTGGCTTGGAAATGGCTCCATGTTATGGGAAAGATAAGGAATGAGAGGGAAGTCTGCAGAATGAATCCCTTCTCCATCAACAAGAGGAATTGAAGGCTTTGAAACTACTTAGACAACCTTGGAAGAGCCAGATGAAATTCCTGTAGGACATCGAAAGCAAAGGAGTGAGGAGTGCTGGAGACAGGGAGAGGACTCTGTCTGCAGAGATGACTTTCCTGGCTTATTGGGAATAAAATAAAAACAAAGGCTGAGGACAAAATGGGAGGTTTGGAGGGATATTCAAGTCCAGGCCTTGGTGCCACCAGAGGTTTGGATTTGCCTGACCCAGCAAACAGCACAAATTTTTATTTTACCTTTTCCCCAATTTCAGCAGCTCATGATCCTGCCTTTGCTTAAGTGCATTAAGTACAGAAAGGTCTAAACATTTGGAGAAGAAATATCCTGGCATCCATTGGCAAAAAGTTCTGTTGGATAGGAAAGTAATGGAACATTAAGTGCTGCTAAATAAACAAACCGAGATTTTTAAGTGAGGCCTTTTTAAAATTGCAAGGGGACGGCTTCAAATGAGCACTTCCCTTTTGTTTTTCTTCTCTGCCATCTCTCTCCAGCACTTAAAATTATTTAAAAATTCTTCTAAATGCTTATTAAAAAACCCCCAAAATTGAAAAGATTATGCTTTGCATTTCCATTTGATTCCAAAGAGATTTTTGGTTGCTGTGTTATAAAACTTTTCAAAAAAGGTTTCAAATGGAAGCCCTGACAGACCACGGAACATTAGGAATTCTGCAGCATTAATGAGTTCTTGAAAGGTTAGAGAATCACAGAATCGTGGAGTGGTTTGGGCTGAAGAGAACTTTCCCACTCCTGCCGTGGGCAGGGATGCCTTCCACTGTCCCAGGTTGCTCCAAGTCCAACCTGGTTCTGTTCAGGAATTTTCCTTTAAAATCTTTTCCATCACCAACCTTGGTTTCTGTAAAGTGATGGTTTTTCTCTTTTCCCCCAGGAAAATGCCACTATTACTGATCTTTTCCTTTAGTTTTCCTGGAAAAACCCTCAATGAAACACCCCATTCAAACAATTAAACCTGTTGCTTTAATCACCCCAGTAATGATCCTTTGGGGTCACCCAGACAGTAAACATTATTCCACAGGAGCTGTGGTCCTAAATCTGATGCTTTAAAAGTGTGAGATCTTCAGAAGCTGTGCCACAGGATGAGAGAATGAGACAGGACATCATGAATGCATTGCAGACAGGCAAAAAATTCCAAATACAACAATTTGAGGCACAAAGTCGATGTTTGGGGCTCACAGGGGTATTCCCTTTCCCAGGCAAGGTTCCTAAACCACTGAGATGCCACCAAGCCACCCCTGTATGCTCCATTTGTGCCACAGCAGCCTGTTCATGGATTCTGTGGATGGAAGGCTCCATGGAATTCTCCAAAGCCATGCAATATTTAAGGCCCAAATGACAAAGGAGTTCTGCTGGGGCAGGAAATGACAGGAAAGGAAGGAGAAAATTAAAAAAAAAAGTTAATGCCTTGGTCATGTATATTCCAGTGGCCTTCAAATGCCAGCTGGATTTGGGTTCTGCTCTTTGGCTCCTTGGAGGGCTCCTAAGTGCCCTGAAGTAGGAAAATTGGCACAAGAAAGCCTCAATTGCCTGAAAATACTCAGCAGGTTTGACAGCAGAAGAATTAAGTGTTAATCACCGGGAAATGCAATACGCTCGTTTTCCGGGCAAAATTATCCCATAAATTCAGGTGTTCCTGCCTGGCTGAAATCAATGGGAATTGCACATCCCAAAGCCACTGACACAACCAGACACAGCCCAGAAGTGTCATTTCCATGGGGATTCTGTGCACAGGCAGCAAATTCTGCAAAGAGGGGGTAAAACTTCTGCTTCCAAACATTGTGCCTTCTCAGCAGCCACCCTTTCCAATAAGATAACAGCCCAGTTTCCCTTGTTTTCCAAAATAACTCCAGATTATTGATGTCCTGCCAATGTTTTAACAAGGAGAGTTCACTAAATCCCACCCTGTCCCAAGTCTAGGACGAACACCATGGGATAAGGGTGGGGACACCAAGTGGGTTGTGCAGAGATGCAGAGCCCAGGAGTCTGCTCCTTGTTTTTCCACTTTAAAGCAAACACTCTTCTGTAACTGGAACCAAGAAGAGAGGCAGCCTCCTCCTTTCTTCATGTTTGGCAAATAAACCTCTCATAAGGGCACTGTGTTGGAGATGTTTGTACTTTATTTATTTAAATGAAAATACACAGAGTGGGCTGATAGCACAACATTTGGCCTATTTAGGAGGAGAAGGATAAAGGCATCCATGGATTACTTTGAGTGCTTTGGAGGGCAGCAGGAATATATTGCTCTGGGGATGTTTTCTTTCTCATCAATACCAAAAATTTTGTGTTCCGTAGGGACAAAATTGTAATGTTCAGGTTTTTATGTGATCTCTATAGGTTAGGGAACACCATCATGGCTCAACCTACAGATTGCACTTTTCCAGCTTCTAGTTCTGGCTGTAGCAGAAAAAATGCTCCTTATAAAAGAAAAAAAAATCCTAAACCAAGTGGTGACTGAATAACCCGCTCACTACAACTTCTGGATTTAATGGTAACCAGGGACAGATACAAAGCTGAAATTACCACGGTGGTTTAGAAGGATGAACTCCACAAAGGGCATAAATCCCATTCCCAATCTCCTGTAACATTTTAAGGAGTTGTTCTCCCAGGCCTTGACGATCCCAACAGCTGAAGACTTTTGTCAGGAGAGTTTAATTAAACCAATAACTGCGGAGAGAAAGCAAACATCCCAGCCAGGCACAGCTGCCTGGGTCCGTTCCAGCAGCAGCAAAGTTGGCACAATCACCACATTCTGCCTAAATTCTCGAAGAGGCACAGAAGTTTTGGGTTAAGATTTATGCTGCATTTAATCTCTAAGGGGCCATCACCCTCCTCTCTGATGGGTTTGCCCAGGCCGGGCAGTTTTGAAGCTCAGACTCAAGATGTTAATCTGAGAAAGGGTTTCAGTGAGTTTATCCTAATCTGTGTCAGAGCACCCAGCTCCCCATATCCTTCTTTCACTAAAAAAAGCTTTCGAATGCGGCGGCGTTGGTCAATGGGTTCCCACTGAGAGGTCTCAGCCTTGCATGAGAATGGGTGTGAAAAGCAGCCGCATCTCCCCAGGGATCAGCATTTCCATGCAGCCGCCTGAAAATGCCCACAAGCCACGAAAATGGGTTTCTGGAAAAGGTACTGGTGATACTGGCTGGTTTTTCCACCCTGAGCCTTCTGCCATCCCCACACTCAGGGACAGCGATGCCTTTGGCCACGCCGCCACCATTCCCCCACATTTTCTGCCTCTATTTTTACCGAACAAACAAAATGGACCTTCGCCCATCGGGAGCAGGAAACATCTGCGCGGCCACCGCTCTCGCTCCGAATACACGCTCCTGTTTTTGTGTTTCGGTGCACCGGGGGCTCGCAGGGGCTGGGGCAGAGCAGCCCGGAGCTCTGGGCTGTTACATGAGATATTCAGGAAGTTATTTGCATGGAGGGATAAAAGCCCGTGCCAGCAGCCGGGTGCGCTGCAGAGGCGACTCAGCCACGGTGGCCACCGGCCCGAGGAATTACATCGCTCGCAGCTTCACAATGAGTTGTTTACTGGCCTTGGCTGCCTGCGGGGAGAGCCAGGGAGAGCGGAGGAAGAGGAGAGACAAACACAATGCGAGCGAGACGCGTTAGGAGGGAGGCTGGGCTTTAGCAGCAGCCCCGGCGTTTCAGCCCCATGGAAGCAGAGAGGGCTGAAAAGGGAATAAAATGAACCATCCGCCGCCTTGCTGCTGCTGCTGCTGCCAGGAGAGCCTGGTCCCTACCTGAAGGGTGATATCGAAGGTAAGAGGGGTGAAAAGAAGCAGGTTTTAGGCAGAGGGCAGATTCACCGCGGGGCAGCTCCCAGGCAGACGCAGCCACGCTTCTCTGAGTGTCTGTAATTATGGCCCTGGAGAAGGAAAGCTGACCGGCTTTCCATCAGGAATCCAGCGATTCAGGGCGAGAGCTCAGACTGTTCCAGTCAGCTCCTCGGAGAAGATTTAAAACAAAACAACAACCCCCAGCCTAACAAACAGCGCCTTTCTAAATCTGCCCAGGGAAATATTTGCTGTTTTATTTCCACAGCCAACTTTGCTCTGCAGTTTCTTAATCTTACCCAGTGCTTTCCCGATTCTCAGCTCCCCCCTCTGCTCCTCACTTTTTTTCTTTTTTTTTTTTTTTTTTAATTGGAAGGCAAAACAATTACGGCCGCGGGAAGGCAAATCCGAGCTTTGAGGAGCTTTTCCCTGCTCGTTCCCATCGGGCACGCTCTCCCAGGCTAATTGCTCAGGAAATCCGCGCTGCTCATTGTCGGGCTGTCCTTAAGCTGCTAATTCCGAGCTGGGAGAGGCTCTGGAAGGGAATCCATGGATAGAGCCCCGCGAGAGGGACCCAGCGGAGAGCCGGGGCGGGGCGGGCTGCGGCGCTAATAACACATCCCTGCCCAATGGAAAGCGTTTCCTATGGAGACCCCCAGGAGTTCCCCCTGCCCACAGCCCCTGCCCAGACATTGGGCCCATTCTTGGTTCCCGATTTCCCAAGGCGCGATGGCAGCGGCGGCGCTCGGCAGCCCCGGTCCCGCTCGGAACAAAGGCCGGGCAGCTGCCGCCCAGCGCGGAGTTTGAGGATGAGCGGCTGAACTTGGACAAAGTGGGATTCCCGCGTGGGAATTGCGCGGTTCGTGTCCCCGGGACACAAAGGACTGTCAGGGAGGGGTCCCCTGGAAGCCCCGAGCCCCGGGAATGGTGGCGGTCCCGGTAAGTTCCCCCCTTGCCGAGGCAGGAAAAGCGGCCGGGTTTCATGGCAGCCCCGGGCGGGGGTTCTGAGGGCTGGGGTGGATGTGGGGGATGAATCCCGCCGGGTTTCACTGCAGATCCGCGGTGTTTTCCCCTTCCCCCTGCTCCAGCCCTGCCGTGGCTGGGGCTGCTTAAAGGCAGAAAGATGAGCTCCAAGTTTTGGGGAAGTAATTCCCATGCGAGCTGCTCCTCCAGATTGCATGGAAATGGTTCTGACTCCCAGCGCGATTCTCCATTGCCATCGAGATTCTCGTTGTGGCACTGCAGGTGACAAGTTTAGGAGTTTTCTGTCCTGTTGTTTGTTGTGTGTTTGTGAAAAGGATCCCTTGGTTACAGCTTCCTTTTGTACTTGAAGTCAGTGTCATAAAGACACTTTAGATTTATAATGCATTGGATAGAAATGTGGCATTCACCTTCGTTTAATGGAGGGCTGGTTAAACTATAATGTTTAATTTCTAATGTTTTTGTATAAACTATACAAAAACATTAGAAATTAAGTTATAAATATTATACTGAAAACTTTAAAAATTCGATTTATCGCTTCTGCTTCCATTCATGGCTAAAATCTACTCCTTTAAAGCTGCAAAATTCAATGAGAAAAATTCAAAGACAGGTCTGAAAAAAACACCGGGTGTCTGAAGTAAAATGAACGATGAACAACATCATTTAAAGATTTGGCTGTTGGGAGGAGAGAGGATTTAACACAATATAAGCACATGGCAGACAAATTTGCAGGAAGACTTTGGAGGTTTTAATGACATTCCCAAATCATTGTTTGAGAGGAGACAATTGTGTGTGGTTTTTGTGTTGCTGCCCTATAGGAACAGAACAGTCAAATCCAGAGGATGGGAAGTGCAAAGTTCACAGCTCGGTGATAAGGACATTCCCCCCTTGTAGTACTTTTCCATCTTCTTGCCCTTTAGGAGCATTCCCTAAAAACAAAACAGGCAGGAAACCCTGGTACTTTGGGGGGTTCAAAGCCTCTGCATTTTAACAGAAAGTCCTGAAACACAGAGGAGGGAGGAAGGGGGTGGGAGAGGAGGCTGAACAAACATTTCCATGGAATCCTTTGAGGCTAAAAATGAGAATCCTCTTCAACTGATAAAAATCGGATTCTTCCAAATTCCGGGGTCAAGAGCTCAGCTCCACACAGACAGACACAAGAAATGCTCCAGTTCTGCACATTTAGGGCATTGCAATGAGGCCCAAAACTGCAAAGCTGCACCTGGGGCTGCTGAGGAGGAGGGATGGAAACATTCCCTGGGCAGGGAGAGGATGCTCTCCCAGCTGGAGGATGGATCAGTCCTCCAGCAGTGAGTGACCTCATGGCTGGAGCACAGGAGCAGAAATTAAATCAGTCTTATCCACAGCTTGGGCCAGATCCTGGGGACAGGGTGCACTGTTGGAGGGGACGTGGCAAAGCCATGTGGGATTCTGTCACTGTGGCACTTGGAGCCATCTGGGTGGATGCCATGTCCATGATCCATCCGCGGCACTGCCCCTCGCCCTGCTTACAGCACATTTGGGATTTTGATATTTCCCATTGTCTGGGTGTTACTGGTCAGGGCTGTGTGGCTGGAGTGGCGCTCCAGGATCCCAAAGGAGCCGGCAGGGCAGGGTGGGGAGAGGCTTTAGTCTCTTTCATTTGATGGCTCCTGGAGCACTCAGCCACCCTCAGCAGGTCTTTCCAGGTCAAGCCTGCGTGCAGAGCCGCACTCTGCTCCTCCTCCTTAAATAAGGATCCGATTTAGTCCCGGGGAAGGGGAGCCACCACTTTCCACAGAAGGGAAATTCTCTCCCTGAAAAGAGGAGCTCTTTATTCCCAGAGCAGACAGTGGCTCTGCAAGGCTTCCTCCTGCACCAGCTCCCAGTTCAGCCCCATCAAAGGGGTAAAGATCCACCCTGCTCCAGAGCCAGACCAGCCTGAGCTGACCCTGCTGCAGGAAAACTTGCTGGATTATTTGTGATGTGTTTGGTTGGTAGGAAGAGGAAGATCTCTTTATCTTGGCAAGTGAAATTAAGGGACATTCATCAGTCCCTGAGCCCTGAGACAAAGGTGTGTTCTGGCAGCAGAAGCAGATCCTTTCTCTGCTCAAAACATGAGCTCATCAGGCTGTGAGACCCTGTGATGCTGTAAACCCACAGCCACAGCAGACCTCTTCTTTTCCTCTCATAATATTCCCATTTTCCTTTCTTGAACCTGCAGACAACTCACCCTCGTCCTCCCCAGCATGTTTTACAGATGGATATAACCATATTTAGCAGGAAAAGCAGCAGCCAGCCTTGCACGATGCCAAAATGTCATTGCCTTGCCCTCATCTTATAATTAGAAATCTGATTTCTAAGAAGCTTCACTGCAGAAGCTTTGCAGTGAAGCTATTTGGAAATCAGATCTTTAGCTGCGATTGGATATTTCTGCATTGTGGAGTAATTTCTTGGTTATTTTACCATTTTACAGAAAAAGCCAGGTTGGGCAAGGCTTGGCGGTAGAAGGTGTCTCTGCCCATGGCAGGGATTGAACAGGATGGGTTGAAGTTCCCTTCCAACCCAAACCATCCTGGGATTCTACAATCCTCAAAATTTCCCCTTTTCCCCTCAAGATAAAGCCATTAAAGAGAAAAAAGCCCTGTTAGATCAACCCATTGCAGTAAATAATGCAGGGCATAGATCCCCAAGGTCCCAAACACGGATTTTGTCCAGCCCCATGGATGGACTGGCCCAGCACCCAAAGCAATCCAGACAGCCCCTCCAGCCAGGCCACCCTGCCAAGGTGAAATTGGTGTTTGTGCTGCTGTGCTGGCACCTTCTTGCTGCAAGGCAAGGCAAAAAAAGTCCATAATTTCTGATAATGGAAGGAGAAAGTTCTCAGCTCTCCCATTTCAGCAAAGGGAGTGCAGAGGATCCAGCCCAAGGGGATGAGGATGGGGTGGCAGGAGGGCTCCACGTGGCTCAGAGGAGCTGAGGAAAGGCAACAAGGAGCCAAAAAAGCCAAGGAATGGCCGAGGAACCACTGGAAATTGTGTCAGGGAAAGCAAAGAAAGGCAGCTTGTTGGGCAGGGCTGACTGGGAACCTTTTGGAGCTGTGAGCAAATAAACCCAGGCCTGTTGTTGGAGTCCCCAGTGGCTCAGGGAAACAGGAGTCTCTTATTTTTTTATGTTGTTTTTTTTTTTTCTTAGCCACACTTTGTAATGAACCAGAGCTACATCAAGGACACCGCAACCTCTACCACAAACATTATTCCTGGGTGAAAACAACCTGGTCAGACAGGGTAACTTTGCTTTTCAGCACTTCATCAGCTTTTCTTTGCATCTAAATCTTCCCTATTGAACCCAGCACTGCCATTATCCAGCAATCCCTGGGGCTCCAAACGAGCAGCATTCCCTCACTCCTCCAGCGCCAAAGGCCGGGCAAAAAGCCGCTCTTACAAGTGTTAAATAATGCAAACTTCGCCGAGCAGTTTGGGGTGAATCCCATCGTTTCCTGGCGGCGGCCCAGCCCCTCCGGAGGCTGCTGGGGATGGGGAGAGGCAGAGCACGCCAAGGGTTAAAGGGTGATGTAAATGGAGAGAGACATTCCCAGTGCAAACAAAAGGAGAGTCATGCCCTGAGGATCAGTGGCTGAATGTGGGCTAAGGCGGTTCGCGAATCTCTTCTGAAGGAAACATTTTAATTAGCTCAATCCAAAACAGATACAGCCCAGAGAAGGCACCACGAGCAGGAAATGCTTTGTAAGTCTCAGAGGACAGTGAGGAGACAACGGCGGTGCTCAGCAATTAAAAACAAAACAAAAAAAAAAACAAAAAAAAAAGGGAGAAAAAAGGAGAGCACCTTTAGGGTTCGGGCTGAGAGGCTCAGGTTTCCTTCCCTGCTCCATCCTGGAGAAGGATTGAATCGGGGTGTACATCAGAAAGGAGATGCTGAGTTTGCAGGGGGTGCGAGGGTCCCCAGGAGCTCAGCCCAGCCCAGGGGACAGCAGCGGCTCCCACCCCATCCCTGCGCTCATTCCCGGCCCAGTGAGAGGCGATGCCTCCCCAAGTCCCCCAGGTTTGGGGTTTTTCTCTGAAAAACCATCTGCTGAAACCTCACTGAAGCGAGTCCCTCCCAGCGCCAGCTTCCCACAGGTACAGCAGGCGATGTCGCACCCGCAGCAAGGGCTGGGGACTGCCAGGCCCGGTGACACTGAGCACAATAAGTGTCAAAGCCATGAATGAGAGCCTTCCTGCGCTGGTTTTTAGGCTAATCACCCGCAAACGTCCCCATTGCCCGGCATACCGGCCGGGCATTCACTCCGATAAACCGGGCGAGAATGGCGCTTTGAAGCTCCACGAACCTCCGTGGACTTCAAAGTCCCACTTGTGTCTGCTCTTTCCCCACTGTTCTCCAATACATCACTTAGGATTAGGAAATGAAAGAGATTAAAGCGTTTCTCCTTCCCAGCGCTCGGGATCCTCAATGGAGCTTTGTTTACAGGCAGCTGCTCCGCTTCCCGGCCTCTAATCCCGGCCTTCCCCTGCTCCCACCGCACCGCACCGGGCAGAGAAGTGGGAATCTGCCAGCATGGAGCACTCTCAGACACTCAGCGAGCTGAGCCCAGCCCCAAAATTGGCGTCACAAGCTATTTCCCATCCCTACACCTTTCTCTGGAGGAGCCACATCCAGCATCACCTGCTCCAGCTGCTCCAGCTTTCCATAAACCCACACTGCTGGGAAAGCAGAGTGCAGCACCAGCTCCTGCCCTGGCAGCCTCCAACAGGGAAAAATCAGCCACCAGATTGCCCCAGACTGCAGGTTTGTCCTTAAAGCTGCTGCCAGTTCACACTCTCGGAGCTCTCCCTGAACAAAACCAACTTTTACTGACAAAAGAAAATAGAAGTAAGTGGAAATTCCATTGCTGGAGCTGAGATGTTCAGTTTTTCATACAGAAAAAGGTTTTGGTTTTTAAAAAATGTATAATAGTTTTGATTTTAATTATTCAGACAATTTCAGTTTACTTATTTTATCTATAGTCACCAGTCTGACAGAACCCAAGTCCTACAGACTTACACAGAATTATCATCTCTGCAAAAATCTGCCAAAACCCCAAACATCCCCCCACAAAAAGCCCTTATTTGTACCTTCTGCCTAATTAAAGTGGAGCAAAGGAAGGAAATAAATGCCAAGAAGCTGCAGAGCTGAGTTTGTTGTACAGCTGTAACCCTGGGCTCCGTGGTGGGAGTAAGTTACTCATCCCACAGGTGTTGTAGCAATGGGGTGAGGAGCAGGGAGCTGCACACCCTGGAGTAAATGGAATTCTTGTCAGGAGAAGGCAGAAATAAAGCTCTTGCTGTGCCCCAGGGAAATCCCTATTTATTTCCAAGGCTGGGACTAGCAAAACACAAGGAGTGGTGCCATAACCTGGGAGAAAACCCAGAGAAACCTCCCCAAACCCCACTGTCCTGCAGGTTTTGCCTTCTCTACCTATAAACCTTTGTTTCTCAAGATTAGAGAGATAACCTGAGTACACACCACGATAATCCAGCAAAGATCCTTCAGCCCTGGGAGGTTTTCCCATCAGGGCTGTGCCAGACCTCCCAAAGCCAGGGCTCAAATGAACACCCAGGGTGTCCTTCACGTCCAGACTGATAAAGTTCCACTCATCTGACACCTCACATGACTAAAAGAAAATGTGATGATGCCAAAAATGCCAGCCCCAAACTCCATGCTGGTGTTTTTCTGACCTCAGCTTGCTGCACATGTGGAGAACGGGATCAGTGTGGAGCAGGAACAATGGGATAATGGAATGACAGGGCTGGTTTTAAATTTGTTTTTTCCCTGCAGTAATTCCTGTTCTGACAAACAGCTCCTCTGGATGGAGTTGCAGTCTGGCAGTCTGGAGGTGTCTTGGGGTGCTGGGAGGAGGAAATACAGGAATTGTAAACAGGATACTCAGGCACCATAGGAAGTAACACCAAGTTTTCCTCTCTTTTCAGTCCATGGAGGATGGGATATTTCTACTATAAAAGAGCAAAGCCTGGAGCTACTCTGCTGATCCTCACTCTGAATTACAGGGTTTTGTGAGGGATGGCTGCTGGAGGTTTGCTGGTACCATCCCTACTAGGAGAGAGAATATTCTGAATATTATCACACTAAACAGGGGGTTTATTCCATTACATTCATCCCCTCTTGGACTCGCCCCCAGTTGAAATATAGGATTTAAAGCTTTACCCTGCCTGAAATATAAAAAAACCCCTACTTTGTCATCCGGTATTTACTCAGTTTTAAAAAATATATTGCTTTACTTTTTCTCAGCAAGGCAACAGCAGTGTTGTCCATGAAGAGCATCCCACTGCTTCAATCCATAGTGGAAAGGAAGGAAATTTTACACTGGGAAAACTCAATCTGTGGACTCGTCCTACAGAATTTAAAGCACATGGCTGGGTTTCAAAGCCACTTGTCAGCTTGTTTAAACACCTCAGGGTTCCATAGGTAAACAAGGCAGGCTGTATTTTAAAGCCCATAAGTTAACTAGACAATTGCTGGCAGGCAATTCCCAGAGATTAGACACTGGAAAAAAGCGGGATTTGACCTTGGGGCTGTCTGGAGCAGAGCAGGGAGAAAAGAGTCAGGTGATGGAGCATCTTTTTTCTTGTGTGAGGAGTACCTGGGTCAAGCTGGTGGCAACACTTGGTCAGCAGCAAAGGTGAGAGTTCCAAAGGCACCTTGCAGACCTGGCTCTTGAGGAACTGCCAAAATCCAGGTTGGAAAGTGGGGTTTCCATCAAACTCCTAGGCTGTGTGAGGTTTCCAAGGACACCCAATCCCTCTGAGGGGACCCTGCACCAGGAGAGTGTGGCACACCTGGGGTTCACACACCCAGGGAGTCACATTCCAGCATAAACACAAACTCCTGATGGAGATAACAGGGATGTCTGCACTGGGAGGGAGCTCCAAGACAAGGATTTAATGCTTTAGGTTGAAGGTTAAGCCAAGGCTCAGCTATTCCTGTTGGAGCTCATGTGAGCTTTCCAGTCCAACTTAGCTTGTGTTTAAAGGCATTTGAACTTTCAGACAAGACCTTTCCTTTTTTCCTTTTACCACAGATCCAAAGAAAGTGAGTTCAATTCCACATTTGAGATTTTACTCAGTCCTTCCTATAAAGTTAAATATTTTACATCCTGTTTTTAGCTTGTTTTCCAATAAAGTTCATTTAACCATGAATTGAGGAGGAAGAATGTCTCCACAGGAGAGACCTCCAAGTTCCAATCCATCTTTTTGGATGTCCAAAGGATGAAGTCATCTGGGAAGGCAGATCTGGGCATCCTCCTTTCTTGTCACTTTGCCAGGTGCAAAGGTGAGGTGCTGCCTGCTCCCAGGGGCACAGCACCAGATTTTGGGAAGCCTGTGGTTCTCCAGGCATTCCCAGGTGAGGAACTTGCCCCTTTCCCCACAGCAAAGCCGTGGCTATCCCAGCTTTCCCAACACTTGCCATTTTACCAGCAAGGCTGACAGCCTGCATGCGAGAACTCCAGGAGGAAAACATACAGAAAACATCTGATTTTGATCATTTGCATCCCAAATTGTCTCCAAACCATGATTTGTTTCCCATTTTATTTGTTTATATGTTGCCATTGCAACCTTTAACACAACTCAGTGACAGGTTTGGAGCTGAAACTCCTCTGTCAGGGGCTCACTCTGGAAAAGATCCCACTCTTCACAAGGGTTTCGCCTCCAAATTACTCCCAGTTGTAGCTCCTAAATTTCTTAGATTACAAGGAGATTCCAAACTAGTTCTTATTTGGTTGGCTGGAGTTTGTAAGGAAAAGGTCTTTCCCTTTGTGACCCAGTTTTGCTCCACAATTCCAAGAAGTGTTGAGCTCATGATCCAACTCACAAACCCTCCTTGCTCCAGAATGACTTTTCTTGAGGAGACTTTCCAAGGGATTATTCTCACAGGCATTAAAAATACTTAAAATAGCCAGGAGAGATGATCCAGGGAGTTCAGGAAGCACCTATGTCCAAGTAAAAACATGCTCACTTCACGTGTCTCCAAAGCTTGTTGAGTTGGGACAGAGTCTTAAAAGAGTGTAGTCCATGAGATTTCCCAAATTTCACATTCCAAACCTCGACAAAGAGGAGGAATGAAAAGCAGCTGTTGATACAGCTTAGAGAAATCTTTCTTGGGAAAGTTTTACACTTGCAAAAAAATTCCTTTTGGAAGTAATACCATATTTGCAGACATTTTTAAGCAAGGAAAAAAAGGGAAACATGGCTTTGGGAAGTGTTTTTGGTAAATATTTCTGAGCTACAACAGTTTTCCACTTTGGAAAAAATGTGTAAGGATGCTTCTATTTTCAATTAGGAAAAAAAGGCAAAGCAGCTCTTCTTTATCATTGGTATTGGTGGGCTTTTTTAATACTTTTGCATCAAAAAAGGTTGAAAATCCATAGAATTCACCTTTGTGCACAGTTTAAAGCAAACACTACAACTTTCAGCTTTTCTCCTCCTGTTACAGGTCTAGGGCAAAATTTCAGATGTTTCATTCTGTTCAATTTCTTTCCAAACATACTGGGCCAATTCCATCTCAGATTTTAAAGAAAAACCTTTCCAAGGGGAATGTTGGAATTATCATAGAATTGTTGGGGTTGGAAAGGACCTTAAAGCCCCTCTTGTTCCAACCCCTGCCATGGACAGGGACACTTTCCATAGACCAGAGAACAATCATTCTCCTTCAAACTGGAGGATGAGAGAGGGATGAAAGAAAAGGAAAGGCTAAATTCAGTAAATTCCATCTCCAACTGTGAAAAACTCCAATAATACTGGAATTTGTAAAGACTCACTTGAAAACTAATTCCTGCTGTAGTTTGCACATCCGTTAATTTGGGAATTTCTCTTGCTCAGCCACTTTGGTTCAAGACTGATGGCAGTTCTCTCTCTCTCCTTTAGGATGAAAGGATCCGTGAGGGAGATGTGGTAGGAAGGAGTCCAGCCACCTCCCTGGAATGCGTTCCTTCGGGAAGGGACGAGCTCCCTGCCTTATTTTATGGATGTCACTGAAGTAGACTTTGAAGGCCTTTGGAAGCCCATCCCAGACTTGGCATGGGAAACCACAGCAACAACCATACCTGCCTGACAGATGATTCCTTCAAGTACAACCTGTACGGAGCCGTGTACAGCGTGGTCTTCATCCTTGGCTTGATCACAAACTGCGCCTCCCTCTTCGTCTTCCTCTTCCGCATGAAGATGAGGAGCGAGACGGCCATTTTCATGACCAACCTGGCGGTTTCAGACTTGCTTTTTGTCTTCACTTTGCCCTTTAAGATTTTCTACAACTTCAACAGGCACTGGCCCTTCGGGGACAGCCTGTGCAAGATCTCGGGCACGGCGTTCCTCACCAACATCTACGGGAGCATGCTGTTCCTGACCTGCATCAGTGTGGATCGCTTCCTGGCCATCGTGTATCCCTTCCGCTCCCGCACCATCCGCACCCGGAGGAATTCCGCCATCGTCTGCGCCGGCGTTTGGATCCTGGTGCTCAGCGGAGGAATTTCGGCCTCGCTCTTCTCCACCACCAATGTGTCCAACACCAGCACCACCTGTTTCGAAGGGTTCTCCAAAAGGATCTGGAAAACCTACCTGTCCAAGATCACCATATTTATTGAGGTGGTGGGATTCATCATCCCTCTGCTGCTCAACCTCACGTGCTCCTCTCTGGTTCTCCGGACTTTACGGAAGCCGGCCACCCTGTCCCAGATTGGGACGAACAAGGAGAAGGTGCTGAAGATGATCATCGTGCACGTGGCCATTTTCGTGGTGTGCTTTGTTCCCTACAACTCCATCCTGTTCCTGTACGCGCTCGTGCGCTCCCAGGCCATCGCCAACTGCTCCCTGGAGAGGTTTGCCAGGACCATGTATCCCATCACGTTGTGCATCGCCACCCTCAACTGCTGCTTCGACCCCTTCATCTACTACTTCACCTCCGAGTCCTTCCAGAAGTCCTTCAACATCAAAACCCAGATCAAAATGGATTCTCTCTTCAAGACGGAGATGCCACTCACAAAGACGGCGCTGCCGGCGCCGCAGGATGAGATCAGTGACCAGGCCATCACCAACGGGGGAGATCCCACATCTGAATCCCATTTCTAGGGAGATGTTTACACAGGGAGTTACCCCCCATTAACTCCTGATTAACACCACGTGGCAAAGAGCAGCTCCAGAAAATGGGGGCTCGCACGTGGAGTTAATGAAGAAAAGCTGCTGGGGGACGACAGATCCTCGCACTGGGATGGTCCCGTCACGTTCCACAGGTGAACACAAAGTGTGAAAATCCCAATGGATCTCCCTTTGGAGATTATGGATAGGCTACAACACATGCATCAACTCAGGAGGGAACAGAACAGCTTCTTTAACCAGAAGATGCCAACATTTGGCATTTTTCCCCCTCAGCAGTTGACATGGGACCAGTTGGGAAATAGAAAATTTCATTTTTTTAGAGATTCCTGACAATATTTCTGCCTTCTGCAGGTGCATCCTCATCCTCATATGTTAACTCAGTAACTTCCCACAATATGTATGTTTGCTTACAAAGGCATAATAAAAGCTTGTGGCTTTTCCTTACTCCACTGCCAGAGTGCAGAGCCTGGTTTTCCTAGAGACTGGAATTTATGGAGAGGTTTGAAGTGTAAATAATTGTTTAGCAATTAGGCAAAAAGAGTTGCTTGGTGACAGAAAAGATAATAAGAAAAAAAAGATAATTATTACTGCAGTTTTGAAAGATGAAGTTTCATTTTTATCAGATTAAGCTGTCATTTAATTTATTTGATTATTTTTAGTGCCACCTCTGGGAAGGAGTAAAGAGCTCATTAATGATCTGTTGCACCTGGGCTTTTATATCCCAGAGGATTTTATTATTATTTCTGGGAAGGGCTGCACTGTAAGGTCAGCTGTAGAAGGGCCTGAGACCCCAGAGTTCTTTCAAGGGAAAAGCTCCCATACAGAAGCTGAGGCAGCTGAAGGCCCAGGAGTGCTGATCCCACTGAAATATGGACAAGAATTGTCACACCACCCAACTAAGGGAGGATCTGTGATTGTTTAATGGGTATTTAGGGCCTCAAGGTAACTCAAAAACCAATTTGCTGCACTCTTTTCTTAGCTGGTTACAGCAATATTGTCTTGTTTTCCAATTAATTTATTACCTTTCTTTTTATAGATTACAGAAATATATGGAAAATTAATTATTTGTATGTGTTGCATTTTACCACCTGGTTCCTTTCTCCAGCTCTTGGCTTGTGTTTGAAGCTCTACAGCCCTTCCCAGGCTGGTTCATTCTTAAGTGTAAGAAACAGAAATGAGGAGAACAATTTCATTTGAAAAAATATAAAGTTACAACTTGTTAGCTCAGCAATCTACATTACCATGGCAAAGCTACTTCTAGGGAATTATTGCCAAAAAAAGAAACAAATTATTAATTGAGCAGATGTTTTCCACTCAACTCTATTTTAAGTCTCTCTGATGAAGCCTCGTGAGATACAAGAGCAGCACCTCAAATGTGATCATTTAAAGCAACAGAGGTTGAAGTGTGAGAAGAATTCAGCTGTAAAATGTTAATGCTTCCAAGGGAATATTTATTTAGCACTGCATTCACTTTGAATAAAGAAGTCAGTGGCTAACCAAGGTTGAGAGACCCCAAAAATGATTCTATTTCAGCCCTAAAATGTCAGTTATTGGAGAAAAGCATATGATCAACTCATTATACACTGAGAGCATGAAGGCAGCCAAAAATATTGTATTTCAGCTCTGAGTTACAGCAGTATTTACTGGAAACTTGCACACAGCACTGGCCTGGGAGGCTTTTCTGGAGATTAAACCCACAGACAATTGCACTTTGGAGCAGAAGAATGTGAAAACAGGGAGAGATCATTGAAAAAAGTTGGTGGAATGAGGTCAGTGTGGCAGGACAAGGGATAGGCAGTGACAGGGAATTTGTCAGCAGCTGGGAAAGGTTTACCTCCAGCCCAAGGGATGAGCTGGGCTTTAGGAAGCAGCAATATTTGCCATTTAACCAGTGCCTTGTCACTTTTCCTGCCTGTGCCCCTTTCCTACTGCAGCCAAACTCTCCATAGGGAATTTTAAAATCCATATTTCCTTTGGCTGATCAGCCCATCTCATTTCAGAGAAGTGTGCATTTCAGAGAAGTTGTTCCCTTCAGATCAAAAGGCAAAGAGAGGGATTTGCCAGGCAGGGCTCTCCCTAAGGAGCAAATCCTTCATCCCATGGCAGAGGAGGACTGGGGAACCATCAGCAGCTCTGACACACCCCAAACTCTGTGAGAAATGGGGCACCCCATCCCAAACCCTGCCAGGAATTGGCAGGAACTTAATGAGACACAAGCTGCATTTTTAGGGATGAGAGAGGGAAGGGAAAAGAGCAGGAAGAATTCATTAATAAATTTCATTTCTAGGGGTGGGAGAGAGAAGGAACAAGAGTGAGAAGGATTCACTAAAAAACTGAAGGTGCATTTAGAACTGCAGAATGTCCTGAGCTGGAAGTGACCCACAATGATCATGGAAGTGCAACTCCAGGCCCTGCACAGGACAGCCCCAAGAATCCCACCCTGTGCCTAAAAACATCTTCCTATTTGCAAGAAAAATATTTGGAATATAAGAAAGTGCTCTTCTCTGAGGCAAAGCCCTGCTTAATTCAGATTTACAGAGATGAGAAACCTGTTTACACTCTGCTTGTTCTCAGCAGGCCACATCCAACTGCCAGCTTGGAAATCTTATTTTAAAGCTGCAAAGCAAGAAGTGATTCCAGAGTTTGTGGGGTTTGGGAGCCTTGTGGGACTGGGCTGTTCTCATGTCTGGTGGCTGCAGAACCTCTCATTTCCAGGGTCCTGAGACACCTTCTGCTCTGGGTGTGCTCCACAGACTTTCCTCTGGTAAAATCCAAGGGAAGAAAGAAAAATCCAGGCTAGAAACCACTGTCTGGGCTTCTGAAGGAAATGGTGAAAGAGAGGAGGGAAAGAACTGCCTGGGACTGGACAAGCTCCAGGCCCCACATCCATGGCCTGCCTGTAATCCCAGCATAATGAGTGTCTTTTTGGGAACCAAACCAGTGCCAATGCTTACAAATTTCTGTTTGCAGTTTTATGGGGCAAGAGCTGTGGTGGATATTCTCACATAAAATGTAATCCTATCATCCTGTGCCAAAATGCCAACTGAAAAGATCCATTATTTTGTAATTTAAGACCTCATAAATTATATGGAGATCACATGATGACTGACACCCACATCTGCTGGGACAGGTCTTGACTAATCTGGTTTTTTCTAGGTCAGGTACACTGAGTACACACTCCATGGTTTGTGGATAAATAACCAATTATGCATTCAGAGAGAGGAAAAGTCATTTTTCAGATGTCAGCAAAGCCAAGCTGGGAGGAGAGGGTGGCAGAAAAGTGGATTCCCAGCTTTTCTGGCTGAGGGGCAGCTGAGTGTTCCTCCCCCCACAAAGGGCTGCTGTCAGCAAACACAATGCCGCAAGTTCAGGTTTAAAAACAAAATCAAATTAATTAAAAGTCACTGCCTTTAGAGGCTCAGACAGGACCCAGAGATCCTAAACAAACATTAATCATGGATTTCCTTGCTCCCAGCCAGCTCCCTGCTCCCATTCCCCAGTCCTCCCATAACATTCACTCACCAGCTTTGCAACCATTGCCCAGCTGGAAAAGCTGCAGCTCCAAAAGGCTCCTGGGCCCTCTGCCCAGCCCAAACCCACCCTGGGGTGCCCACACCTGGTGAAATTCTGTGCCAATTCACAGGGGGAAGCAGGGCTTTGTTCTACAGTCCCAGGAAGCTCCTCTTGGTGCCACCACGGGTCCTACGATGGGTGAAAGGTGCCAGGTCTTGGGTAAATCTTGTGAAAATCTCCACCAGCTTTGCACAAATCAGTACAAGCTACCCAGAGCCACATCTGTGAGCCACAAAGGCAAAGAGGCAGCACAAGTAATGTGTAAAAGTCATGGATTAGCTCTGGATGAGCCAGAGGGAGGGAAAGTTCCTGTGCTGCATGTACACATCAGCCAGCCATGCTCTGCTCCTCCTGTCCCTGCTCCCTGCATGGATCCAGCCTTGAAATCCCTCTAAAACTAACCCTGGGGAGTTTTTTTGGTGGTTCTCCCTGAAGTTCTCCATGGATCAGGGAGGGAGGCTCCACTCCTGACCCAGCAAAAACACATGGATGGCCCAGAAGGAATTTCCCTGTGCCAGAGAGACACAGCACCTCTGACAGCCTTCTCTGGAGCTGTGACCTGCTGAGCTCCCCAAGACATCCCATGCTATTCCCAGGGGGAAGGTTTGCTGTCCACAGGCAGGAAAATGTCCTGTGGTCCCCTGAAAGTGTCCTGTGGTGTGACCTGCTGGCCACAGGGAGCCCTCAGCACCCCAAAGCTCTGCTGTGTCCACAGAGCTCTGGGGGCAGGATTTGGGGACAGGAACAAAGCAGCCCTCACTCACTAAGCAGGTTTTGGTGCTCAGCATTAATTGAAGAAAGAGGCAGAGTTGTTCTCCGTGGATTAGCAGCCCAAGCCTTGTTTTTGCTGTAATTCCAGGAAAGCTGTAATTTTTATTTCTGAATGCTGCTGCCCCCAGGGTGACCCCAGAGCCCAGGCTGGTCTGAGCTGTATGTGTGCCCTCTGACACTCCAAGGACCATAAATCATCCCTAGAATCATGGAATTAAGGTTGAAAGGCCTCCAAGATCATCGAGTCCAACCATCAACCCAGCCCTACCACGTTCACCACAAACCCATGTCCCCAAGTGCCACATCCAGACATTTTCTGAACACTTCCAGGGATGGGCACTCCACCCCTTTGCTGTTTCAATGCTTGACAACCCTTTCTGTGAAAGAATTTCTCCTGATATCCAGCCTAAACCTCCCCTGGCACAACTTGGGGCCATTGCCTCTCATCCTGTTGTGACATTTGTACACATCTTCTGCATCTCCCTGAAATTCTGTGCCACGGAGATGCCACTTGGAGAAAATCAGGTTTGTGGGAGGCTCAAGCAAGTGAGGAAGATGTACCCAAACCATCTTTGCCTCCCACAAGAGTGGTTAAAGCTCCTTTTCTCTGGGTGCAGATGCCAGCCATGGGAATGTTCTCCCTTTCCTGTTCTGTCAGGACCTGGGTGTGTTAAAGGCTCGTTCTGCCCAGTGTGAAACCCTGAAGTGTCCAAGGCCAGGCTGGATGGGGCTTGGAGCAACCTGGGATAGTGGGAGGTGTCCCTGCCCATGGTCTTTAAGGCCAATTCCAGCCCAAACCATTCCATGATTTAAGACAGTGACTTTAAGCACTATAAAATGTTCACATTTCACAGCAAAACATGGAGCTGTTCCTGTTTCTTTTCTCTGGAAAATATAACTTCAAACTAACACTTTAACATCACTTAAAACTAACATTTAACACTGCTGGCTGTCCTTGATTTTAATTCTTAAGTTTAATTTCCATGCAAAACACCAGGACCTTCACACCCCTAAACCACTGGGACAAGCAAGGAGTGGGGTGGTTTCTTTTTGGGATCACTTGGCCTATGTTTTCCAAGAAAACTGTCCAGTTCCTAAGA